AATAAGATCATCTCCTGATTCTGGATGCACCAACCTCTTCTGTCCACAGTCAATCAGAATGCGAGTGGTGGATAACCAATTCATCCCTAAGATCACATCCATATCCTTCAAAGGTAAACCGATTAAGTTCACCTTGTACTGTCGTCCTTCTACGACAACTGGGCACCTCAAACACACATAGGAAGACACCACCAGTCCAGCTGCTGGTGTAGATACCCTCAATTCATAGGGTAGGTCACACACATATAACTTAAGTTTATCCATACAATTATCAGCAATAAAAGAATGGGTAGCACCTGAATCAAACAGAACTCGTAGAGGTATATCAGAGATAAAACACACACCTTGCACTAAATTCTTTGACCTCGATGCCTCTGCTCCTAACAAGGCAAACACCCATCCTACAGCTTTGAGTTTCGTGTCACTCCCCCTGGGTACTAATGATGCCCCAACTGAGACTATATCACTGAGCTTCTATGGACAGTCTCTAGCCATATGTCCTGGCTTGTGGCAAGTGTAGCAAAGACCTGCTTGAGAAGTCTGGGAAGGAGTAGTGAAGGCATTATGTGGGCACTGATTCCTGTAATGAGGGTCTCCACATTGAAAACATTTCACCCCGGATACAGATCCCGATGATCGAGGTGCTGGGGTAACACTGCCACTCCTGGAAGACTAGGGGCGTGAATAAGGCATCCTCCTCTCTGATCTACTACCCCTACTCGGGACCTCACTTGGGTGGGTCCTCATCACTCTGACTCCTCCCTCCTGGAGTCTCTCTATTGTCTTCGCTTTCTCCACCAGCTTTGGGAATCTCTTGATAGAGAAAGGAACCACCATGAGCTTGATCTCAGCCCTCAAGCCCTTCTCAAACTTCCTGCAAAGCCACTGTTCTGAAGATGTACCTGTGTAGAAACGAGATAAGCGCTCAAATCGTACGGCGTAATCATGCACCGTCATATTACCCTGTCTCAGACTCAGGAACTCAGTCTCCTTCTAAAATCTAACCCTGTCAGGGAAGTATTTCTCCAGAGTCTGAGTCCACGTGCAATCATCATCCTTTGAGTCCCTGACCACCAGAACTCAGCCTCATCCACTAGTAAGTATTTCCCAAATGTCAATTTCCTGTCTTCCGGGCATAAGGTAGCCTAAAAAATCTTCTTCACTTCACACAACCACTTCTCTGCTGCATCTGGACCCAAACTCCTCTAAAACGAGGCGGATTATGCCTCATGAACTCAGTCAGCCCCATCTACTCTAATTGGTGGAATCCAGCAGAGGATGAGACCATAGTTGGCCTCCACTGCGGGTAGGTAGCTTGCTGCTGCATGGCAGCTGCCAACATTTCCATTGCTCTGGCTAGGGCATCTACACTGAGTGGAGTAGGAGTAGGAGGTCGCGGTGCCATCCTATATCAAATACAACCATCAATACAGAGCAAACATTCACACACACTCACTTATCAGAGTATAATCACAACAGACTTATTATAGGGTCACTACCCATCCCCACAGATTTACAAGGATACTACCATTCTGATACCACTATTGTAACGATCCTAGAAATTGCTACTATAATGATATCTTCGTAAAATAGTAAACAAGTAAATAATGACATCTATCTTACATTATATTACTGTAATTGTAACATAGATTGAAATTTCGGTTCACTAACGGAACCTCAAAATATAGTAACATAATTTATTTATATATTATACATGTAAAAGTAGCTCCCTCGAAGCTATCCCACTGAACTATCCCTGCTGTCCAGTAGTCACATCTCCATCTCTCAACTCCTGATCTACTCCCAAATAAAAGTGATCATCATAGTCCCATCCACATGGAAAAATAGGGGTAAGTATTAAATCATTCGATATAATAAAACAGATATAGAAGTAATAATTATATATTATGATCAATTACGAAATCATCAACACACTAAGACACCTTCCGAAAGTATACCCTAACTATGCTTGAACTCAGAGGCTATCATCTATGGGCACATTGTGATCGGCACCCGCAGTACCATTTTGACCACCCTCCACACAAAGTAGGATTACTGGCGCCCTTCATCACTCATACTGGAGTACCCCTCCGAGCGCGCCACCAGTCATCCCCCATCGACTTCTCACCACCTGATCTCGTAGTCTACCTGACCCGACCAATCAGTGAAGTCTGGGACCTTATTCAAAATCCTCCGACATTGTTATTACACTAATGTACTTTGTACCACTCCGGGTACCATTCAAACACAACAAAAATCATTCACATTTGCCGGATTCTGGACCACCTGTCCTCACGACTCATTCAAGTCAATAAATAATAGTACGTGACTGATTCTGGGCACGAATCCTCTGGCTCAGTCTAGCCAATACATAACATCTCATGATCGATTATGGGCATCGACCCTTAGACTCAATCTAACCTACACACGTCACAACACAATATTGAATCTTTAAAACTGCTACATTCATTCTATATTTTAAATAAATAAATATATATATATATATATATATATATATATATATATATATTCTTCTTCTTCTTCTTTTTCGAAATCATTTCCGAAATCGTTTCCAAAATCATTTCCAAAATCTTTTTCGAAATCTTTTTCGAAATCATTAAATTACTATTTTATCCTTAATCTTTTCTAAAAATTTCATGTATGTCCCTAAATGACTATTTTACCCTTGGACATTTTCGAAAATTCCTTCCATGTCCCGAAAATGACTATTTTGCCCTTGGATATTTTCAAAAATTCCATTTATGTCCCTAGGATGTAAAATGACTATTTTACCCTTGAACATTTTCAAAAATTCCTTTCATGTCCTTTTCTTCTTCATCACGCTAGTAACATTAACAAATTTTGCAGATTTCAAATTACTCAGTTTTAGAAAACCAAACTAGTCCCAAATTCAAATTAAACATAAATTATATCTAATTTAAGTTGAAAACAACAATTTTACCATATAATTCATCTTTAATTTTAAGAATTTCAAAAACTTTCAAACGGTGAACAGTTTATCATAATCAGAAATTCTTCAAAATTAGACATTCAAATAATTCATATCTCTACTCCTATTCCTTATTCACAGAGTACCCAACAATTCAATTTCATATATTGAATGAATTAAACTTCCCCTTACCTGGTGGTATTTCTACCGATGTTTTCCCACTTAATTCAAGTTCTCTCCCGTTTCACCGAGATCCTGCACGAGTAGAGTCTCGTTGCTTTAGACAAAAGAAGAAGAAGGATGAGAAACACGTGATATGGGAGGAAGAATTTCTCGCTATAACCATTCCTCCCCCTTCGCACATATAAAAGAAAAAAATTATTGTGCATGAGGAAAACTTCGTTACTGAAATTTTCTTGCACAATAATATTATTAAAAAAATCATACATCTGACGTTTTGTTTAAATATTAACATATTTATATAAAATCAAATAATTTAAAAAATACTTAAATAAAAATAAAAATAAAAATAAAAATATATTTTGAAAATTTTTAATTTTAATAATAAAAATATTTTTTGTTTAAGATATAATAATTTAATATATAAATTAGAAGAAAACATATCATTTCAATCTTAAAATAAACTTATTTTTATTATCATAATTTATTTTTAATAATTTAATAATTTAAAATAATAATTAAATTTAACCATTAAATATTAAAATAAATGATTATTAAAGATTTATTTTTAGTTGTCAATTTAATTTATAATACATATATTTTTTAATAAAATAATATTATTTTTATTTTTATCTAAAATATAATTATCCTTTTATAAAACTGATTAATCTGAACTAAACCCATATAAATTATAATCTAATTCAATTTATACAAAATCTTTTTAAGTTTCCCAAGTCTTAAGTTAAAGCTAATACACATAAACTAGTCACATGATTAATTAGAGTTATTTATATTAATATAATAATCATAAATAGATAAAAAAAATTATTACATGAAGTTATTTAATATGCAGTTGTTAATCGATTTTTTTCCGATAAGTTAGTATGACATGGTTTTCAAGAACACAAGACATAGAGTAGTTTATAAGAGAGGTAGTGCCGGAGTACTTCAAACTGAGAACCAATGAGGATTGGAGATTTTCAAAGAATCACACAAGAGGCTCATCAATGATGCAAGAGAGTGGCTCAAGGACACATCACAATCTTGTCAGCTGTGGCAACTCTCATTGCTGGTGTTTGTTTTGCAACATCTACCATTATCCTTGCTGATTTTGATACTGTCCAAGGCAAACTTCCATTAGAAACAATAAATGAATTCGTGTCATGTGTAATGAGTTCAGTATTTGGCCTATGCTCCTCCGTCACCGCCCTTCTAATCTTCTCTCTATTTTTCACTTATCGAATGAAGTCGCAGATTTCGGAAGAAATTTGCACTAAAGATGCTATTTGGCTTAAGTTTTCTTTTCTTATCTATTGTCATTGATGAAAAATACAAGCAGGTCTTGATCATTATATATATATATATATATATATATATATATATATATAGTCACTTGCTTCTCTGTGAGACTCTATTCAGTATCACATTTTCCACATTATATTATTGATCTTATAAGAGTCATTGCAACTACAGTACCACATTATATTTTTTGGATATCCTTCTTCAGTTAACAACAAGCCAGCATAAAAATGTAAATGAATGTTTTTTTTTTTTTTTTAAGTTCTAACATGTATGAACATCACACAAATAAAGAGATATGGAGACTGGACTAGAACACAAAGTATCTATCTCAAGACATCACTAATTGTGCATATGCCTTCTCCTTTATCAAGTTCCTCATGACAGTTCAAAAGATGTTTCTATCCTGTTGTGAAATGGTACGAACGTTGAGCTTAGTGAGAGAAATATGATCTAAATCTAGACTGGTGCATACAAAAACAAGAAACCAACAATAAATATATAGGTGGAGCAGGTTTATGATGACTAAAGCCAAAAATGAATAATCCATTACGCAAATTACACAGTTCTGCTATGTACCAACATTAGGTGCCAGGGTTGACACTGGTGGGCCATGAGAGTATCTCCACCTATCACAGGCCGAGCACTTCTCCAACTTCACATTGTTCTCCAACGTACAGAATTTGCAAGACCAAGTGTTGTATTTGGTAGTAACATCTTTTGGCTGGTGAGTGCCACACAACTCACATATGGGAGCCAATCTCTGCAATGATCCGCATCATTCCCACACATTAGAAAAGTCAGTATTTATTAATAACGCCAGGGATAGGTGGTGCTAATTAAATAATTTGGAATAGTGAATGAAAATAGTTAGTCATATACTTCATAACAACAGAAAAATAATGTCTTCAATACATTTGGAAACTTACTTTATTCAATAGAGTGCACATCGTACACTCCCACATTCCAGATTCTTCAGAATGAAATGTTCTATTATCACCAGATACAGACACACTTGATAAATTTCCCAAACTAGGTCCTGCCTGAGAATTGGATTGAGAATGTGAAATGTTTTCTGATCCACAGCATCTTCGTTTAGATCCAGTTTTTGGTGTATCCATTGTCAAATCTATAAACTCAGAAGTACTAGGTGAGGAGCCAACAGGTAAACTTGAATCGGTATCCTGACTTCTTTTTTGAGATAACAGCTTCGATGGTAGAGCAGCATCGTCTGTTAGTCTTGAGGTTCCCACATTTTTCCCCTTATGCACAATGTTCTCATCATCTTCATAGTCAACATCTTCGTGACCCAAATGTTCAGAAGATTGAGAACCACACCATATATCATCCTGTAATCTCTGCTCTGCAGCCATTGCAGCAGCTTGTACTGGACTAAGGGCTTTCATTATAACACTATCACCACCTACACGTTTAGGTCCAGATGGAAGAAGAGATCCCAATCGTGCTCTCTTTTCTGCAGCTTCCAGTGCAGTTTTACGGAGGGATGGAAGTGGAGGTTGTCGGGAATAACCACCTAAACGCCTTCCTGGAAGGTCAAACCCCTCTCCTGCGCCAGTTATTCCCTTAGTCATCAACTCTTCACATTCCTGTGCATGATTAACAACATGTAAACATGAGAAGGAACCCATAAATTTTATAACTTGCTAAGAACAAAAACATAATTTTCTTAAAAATTCACAGCTCCAAATAAGTATTTAGAACAATCATAAGCATCAGTTATCCAGTTATTACACTAATAAGAAATTCCCCACTGTAAAATAATAAAATGGAGAGGATTCTGTAAATGTCTATCTTGTTAGCAACCTGCAGTTTCTCTGATGCAAAAAGAGTGCAATTTAAAAGGCAAGAAATATAAAGATCAATTATAGATTACAACAACACAGAGGAACAAGAAGAACCTTTCTAAGCTCATCCCAAAGCTTGTAGAAGTTGGCATTATGAGGGCCATGGGCATTATGGCAAAGCTCGTGAAGCATCGTATCAAGAACTTGATTAAACGGATAAAAGTCCAAATCCCTGTTCGGCCTACGTAGCCGTAACTTCACATGTATACCAGCTCCAACGTTCAAACCCAGGAGAGATGGATTTCCAGGGCTACAATCACATTAACCAGCCCTTCAATCATTCCCCAAGAAATTAAAAGACAAACAGTTGTAAATCAAGCCAAAATCATAATGCAAAAGAAAAAATGGTCCAAATCCGATTATGAGCAATTAAAAATTTCAGTGAAATCAACAATCGAATAAACTAAAATGTTCCTACTTCCAATCACAAAAACTGTTAATTTAATTAGTACTAAAATATCTTTAGCGATTAAAACAGTGGTATTTACAAAAAGAAAACTCCAGTCTTCTAAACTTCAATGCTTCATTTTTCCTTTACCCATTAACATAAAACATAAAACACAAAAGGAAATTGAAATAACTTTTTTTATATAGACAATAAAAGGTATCATCCATAGGAGATAACAAATATCTTTAACCGGAAACAATCTTCTTCGGTCCGAGTGTGATCACTGTAAGTATGAAAAACTCTCCCTCCAAGTATACTTAAAATAAAAACAAAACTTAGGTACTAGTTCTGCTTTTCTCCGTTCATAATTGAAGTTTCACTAGCATAATCCATTGTTACAAACATTTATTCCGCGGACTGTCGAGCTAAAACTACAATTATAACTGGAGAACAGCAAAATCACTGATACTGGGTATAAGTTTTCTCCTTTAAATAAATACAAGTGAATGCCATTACATATATGAATAAACAAACAAACAAACAAACAAACAAATAAATAATGAAAAAGGAAATTTGAAATACCAAAACTCGGAGAGGAGCTTGACCCTCCATTTGTGTTTACGCATGATGGGTTGGACCTGTTTAGCGATCTTCTCCAACATCTTCGTCGCTTCTTCTGCCGCGGGTTTCCTCTTCAGAGCTCTGATCTCCCATACCTTGTTGAGGTCGCCCACGTTCATCCTCCAAAACCCTGAAATCCCAAACTAAGAAAAACTACAGTAATTGAGAGAGAATGAAGGGACTTGACGGGGAAAATTGAACAATATGAAAACGGCGACAATTGGTGGCGAAGGATCGCAGAGAATTTGGTGTGTATGGAGAAGAAAAAGAAATAGTCGAAAACGACGCCGCAACGAAAGATTTGATCATCCAAACTTAACGCGCGAGTCTGGGCGGCATTTTGAGTCAGTCACATGTGTGGCTGTATCTTCTTAAATATGAAAAAATGGACCTTTTTTTACAGCAATGAAAAACAAGTACATTTATATTATAAAAAATATTTTAGAACAGGGAATAAAATATAAATAGATATGATTAGGATATCACTTAATGCGTAATTAGTTTAATAATTTTATAAAAATAATTATAATTTTTACAATATTTTAGAATAAAAATTAAGTGAATATATTTTTTATTTTTTTTAAAGAAATGTATAATCGTTTGTTGAAAATAAATAAAAAAATAAAGATTCTGCCTATCAAACTAATTCCTAGCTACATAGAACAAAATAATATCTAAAAAGAAAATAGAGACAGGCTAGAAGATAATTATAAATTCGCTATACTAATTCTAAAGTAAATCAACTTATTACCAATAAAAATATATGATACTTTAAAAAGAAGAAGTGGAAATATAAAATAAAAGTTGTTTAGATTTAAGAGGAAAAAAAGATTAAAGTGAAGTTGTTTAGATAAATTTTTTTAAAAATTATAAAGAAATAAAATAAAAATTTATGAGTAATTTGATTGATTTAAATGATAAAAAAATATTTTAATAAAAAAATAGATGATTATTGTTTATTTTATAAAAATTATTATTATTATTAGAATTTAAAGTATTATAAATATTTAAATTATTTTTATTTTAATTAGTAAGATGAAATAATAATAATAATAATTATTAAAATAATTATTGTTATAGTTATATTTATTATTCTTACTCCATATTAGAATAATTATTAGTATTATTATTAAGTTAAATTAAGAATAAATTATTTACAACGAGTATGTTATAAAGATGAACATTTAATTAAAAAAAATTGCAATCAAAATAAAATAAGATGATTAAATAATGTTTATATTACAATAATATTAATAAAATAAAATAAATCATGTTTATTTTCATTAAAAAGATTGTTGAAAGTCTTTAAATCTCCATTCTAAATTATCTTTTTATTGGTTTACGACTTCAAAATTTTAAAACCTTGGTTGATACTTAGGTTGAGAATATTTAATTCCTATTGAATTTGTTGAATACCATCAAAAAATTGTGAAAACATTCGAGGATTATAGGGGATTGCTTTAGACTAAATCGCATTATGGTGTACTGGACCTCCTAGTCCAATGTCGGTCCCATTGTCCTCTGGTAGTACAGGGTCTTCATCGTCATCATGTTCATCCTCCTAGTTTATCCTTCCATGTTGTCATACGTCGTTCACATTAACAACATTCAATTTGTTCAACGTTCTTTTACTGGAGTAGTATGTCTAATCCAAGATGACAATCTAATCCATAGTTAAGTCAATGTCATAGTGAGACATAATGTGAGTTATTAAAATGACGTATAAAAGATAGTTGTTGTTGTCCATGTATTTCATCACGTGTTGCATAATGTGACGAGACTAGTTAATCAAATATTTTCAAGGCCCTTAGTATGAAAATGTCTTCATGTGACAATTTTGGATAATTAGTGGTTGAGGAGTCAAAATGTGAACAAGGATGTAATGCAAGAGTCTATCATTGATATTAAACTCCAAACGTTCCTAGCATTGTGACCTTGCACCTCTGGTCTTAACATGAAGCTCAATGTCGTATCTTAGTCGTATTGCATGCCTTTAGGGATACTAAGATATGACAACTTCTGACCTTGATACTTTAGATTAGCCAGAGTAAACCAATATGCATGTGTGATTTTAATCTTGATCTTATTAACCTCAATGTATAGGTTACCTATCTGTGTGTTTTTGAGGTTCTAGTAAAATACTCTAATAAAATCTTCCTAGAATGGAGCTTCTAACATAAAAAATTATTTCAAACCTTGAAATTGTAAATGATAGTGGAAGTACATCCCTAACTGTGTGAAATATGGGAATTCATGATTTTTGGTGGCAAATTTTTCTTATATTGAAAGGTCATCATTTTATCATTTGATTATGGATGTTGAAGAATTATGTCTTATTTAATATCTCCTCATCACTTGACGGAACTTCATCATTAGTTGTATGTAATTTTCTTTTCTTTGCCCTGACAGTTTGATGTCTTTTGGATGTTGAAGACGAATTCATGAGTACAAAATTAGAAACATATGAAACATCAATTAAAATGAAAACATCAAACATATATTAAGGTATAAATTGATACCGAATTAATGATATACCAATTAATCACAAAAAGTAAATGAAATAAAATAAGATAGAGGTTTAAATGGCGAACATCACATAAATATTAAATTAATTTTCGAGTTACTTGAATTCAAATATTATGCAACACAAAAACTACACCAAAGTTCACATATGCTTCTTAAAGACAATAACATCACCCTTTTCTAGATATAAGATTTAGCAATTCACTAGTGCAAAAAAGGCTTTTTATGTCGGTTAAATAGGCGACATAAATACAAGGGTCATAGAAAGTATGACTTTTTACGTCGGTTGTGATGAACCGTCATAGAAAGTAATGGGCTTTTTACGAAAATTGTCACTGGTAGGATTCGAACCCAGTACATTAGAGTCTAGAATTAGACCAACCACTATACTAGTACGATTTTTATAAAGTATATTATTTTATTATCTATTTAAGAGATTTGTCTCCGACAAGATTCGAACCCAAGTACCTTAAAGTTGAAGACCGATACTCCAACCACTAAACTACTACGAATTTCGATACATAACTTACAAATAAATTATATTTATATACAAAATATATAAATACAAATATATTTATATATTTTGATATATAAATATTTATATACTTATATATTTAATTTTTTTTATTTAATGTACACTTTCTATGTCGGTTAAATTTTAACCGACATAAAAATTTCACTATTTATGTCGGTTAAATTTTAACCGACATAGAAAGTACTTTCTATATCGGTTAAAATTTAACCGACATAAAAAGTGAATTTGCCCACATACCATGTCGGTTACATAACAACCGACATAAAAAGTTCATAATATTATTACAAAAATGCCACCGCCCTATATACTATGACGGGTGGATTACAACCGCGATAAAATGTCGTCATAAAATCATATTTTTCCACTAGTGATTTGTTAAAATGACATTTTGGGACACCCCGAATAGTCACTTTACATGTGACAGGTTCATACACAGGAAATCATAACACTAATCTATTATTTAGTCATCTTCAATGTGCATGTTAACTAACATGTTTCAAATGTATGTTGAATGTTGACGTCCTACACATGTTACCACTTGCTGTTAAGTGGTAAAAAGTTGATATAATTATGCTTTGAATTGTTATGAAACTACTTAACTTATGTTAATTTTAATCTATTTTTCTCCCAATGTAGGATGAATTCGAGAATACCTTGATACAAGAGTAAGGTGCATAATTGTCAGCATAAGTGGAGTAAAACTGGAAGAAGGAAGAATATTTTCAGCATGGAAGTCGCTTGAGCGAATATAAGTTATTCTTCTCTGGAAGTCAGTCGCTCAAGCGCCAGTAAATTCGCTTGAGGGAATGTTAGTTATTCTTCTCTGGAGTTCACTCGCTCAAGCGAGCAATTTGTCGCTTGAGCGATAATAAGAAACTTTCACTTGAGTGAAAGTTGTCGCTTGAGCAAAAGACGCGAGACCCAATTTTTCCTATAAAAAGATAAGATGTGTTTTGAGAAAAGCAAGCGATTTTGGGGAGAAGAGGCACGACTATTGCTAAGGTTTCGTTCAATCTTCATCAATTCTTCACTTCTTGCTCATTTGGAGCATTGTAATGGCCAATATGAGTGGCTAACTTCATTCTCTTGGGATTTGGTGCGTTTCCTTTGAACTCTTTTGTATCATGGTGATTTTTTGAGATATTAATCTACGTTTTGATGTTGTTATTCTTATCCTTTGTGCTTTGGAATGATTTATTCTTGATGTTTGGGATATGATTGGAAAATATATCTTGAACCCTAGATCACGGTAAGAATATTTGTTATGTTAATTGTCAGGAATGGAATGAATGTATCAACTGCTTAACACCCTAAACCTAATGCTGAAAAATCTCTTAATTGTGTGAGGAATCAACATTTATTAGGTTTTCTTATGAATTTCATGTGTGAGGAATCAACATGGATGATTTAAGTATGTGGCATCAATATTGTTAAGTTAATTGACGTTCTTAATTGACATAACAATTACAAAAGAGGGATAAGGAAGAAAGTCAATCCTAAGCGCCTTTAATTGATCTTTTCTCAACAATTTACAGTTCTTTGTCATTTAATTTCAATTCAACTCTTTATGCAAAACCCAATTTGTTTTAATCCACTTAGTAAGCATATAATTGGGAATTTCCATTGAAATCGTTCCTCGTGAGATCAAATTTTATTTAATCGAAATACTATACTGCAATTGATAATTTTGGTACGCTTGCCAATAATTCAACAAGTATTTCTGGCGCCGTTGCTGGGGAACAATATTCTTTGAGAATTCTTTGTTTAGCTTATTAAGTATTTTTTTTATTTCTGTTTTGTTTTATTTTTCAGTTTTATTTTGCTTAATTATTGTCTTGTGCTGATCTTTGCTTGAGTTACTCTTTTGATTTATGCATTTAAGAGGATAGGTATCTTCAGAGCAGTTAGAATTTAATCAAGAGATTGAAAAAACTGCTCGGAGGAACCGAGGTAGAAGAAGAGAAACTCAAGAACAAACAACAGGAGAATCTATTAACCCTTCGACTACACTAATTTTTCCAGACCCAATCATAGAAGACGTGGTAGAAGACGGAACAAATA